GGCAATGTGAAATTGATCCAAAATATTGAGCAAAAAAACTGGCCCGTTGGTATACAAGTGTAATAGAAGGCAAAAAATTTCCTACACTCTGCTCTGAATATAGAGAATCCCAAATTGTCTTTCATTTAACTCAAAAAAGTTCCCTGCCTTGAAAGACTGTGTTGGTTTTATTTAGTTGGTGTTGACAACACCTCGCTAAAACTGGTGGAGAATGGTGAAAATCCGTACTATGACTATTCACTGGGTCAACCATGGGTCTTTTTCAAATAATTTTAAACAAACGATTCATTAGCAAATTAAAAAGGTTTGAATAGGTCTTTTGGATGTAAGACCAAGTGAACTCTCATTAGGGATGGTCATTCAATATATCTGGACTCATAAAGTAATTTAAAAATTATAGATTTTGTATAAGTTATAGTATTAACTCCCATCACTGTGTTTATTCTCTCCAGAATGCTCTATGCTAAGCATGCTATATACCTTAGGTCCTTTACGCATCTTGACAGCCTTCTGAAGTGGACATGATTTTGCAGATGGACAAGTGAGAATGAGAGCTGTGAAACGATGTGCCCAAGGTCACACAACTAGATAAGAAATGAACAAGTTGAAATCCATCCAGAAAGGGTCCCAAATCTCCTCCAAATTGAATGGCTTCTTAATCTGCAATTCTAGTTCTGCAGGAGTTAGAGGTTGAGGTTAGATCACACGGATCTGAACACTAGCTTTGCCACTTAACCAAGGAGTGACCTGTGGGACTGTTCTAGGTCTTAGTTTTCTTCATCTATAAAATTGGGAGTGAAATATTCTAGCTTTGTGTATGTGTGACTGTTGATTTGGATAGCGTGTGCATGATTTCAGCCCAGTGTCTGCCATAGAACTGTTGAAGTTCCCACAATTGTTAGTCGTTATTATATTGTTATGATTAAAGGGTCAGGACCAAGCTGTTTGAGTAGACGGTCTTGAGTACAACACTAAATTCAAGTTAGCAAATGGTATAGATATGTTCAACACTTTTTCCTTTTAGTGTTGGCATAAAGATTTTTTTTCTGAATATCTCTTTTAGTATTATAATATTAAATTTTCTCTAAGGTGGACAGTGGAACTTATATCTTAGTCTTCTCACATCATGGTACCAGTTAGGACTCAAGCTCGCAAATACTCTATGTCTTGCAAATTGTTATATTCACCTTCCAGAGAACACCTATGACAACATTTCCATCTTTTGAAAATGATCACTGTTCCTCAACGCTGGGTTGGTGTTTAAGAAAGTGAGTTTTTGCTAATCTTACCCATCTGGAATTATCCTGTGACTCTAGACTTACCTCCACTGACATCCATCAGTTGTAGTTTAAGTGCCTCAGCAATTATATTCATTCAGGGAGATCCTAGAATGGGAATCTAAGGAAACATTCTTAGCTTACAGTCGAGAAGTAGTTTAGGCATGGGACAGTCTGGCTATTTAATGTAATCATCGTTCTTAAATCCCATAAAAGTTCTCCACACATTTCTCATATATTCCACAACACAAAGATAAAAATCATGTCTCCCTTTTCATGTTTTAGGAACTTGGAGGCAGAACCCTTGTCTTCTTCTATGGGAGAGTGAGATGCTGTGAACTGTTTAACCCAGATACCACTAAGAATGTAGAAATGATATCAGAGGGATCACAATCAGTTGGAGAGACATGGGCATGAAACAAAAATCAGTGATGCTAAGAGTTGGGAGCCAATCAGATAGAAGTCTAAAATACTATATGGCAGCCAATCAGGAAGTTCAATGTGATTTGGGACTATAGATGCAATGGGATTATATAACAAACAAAGGCAAAATAGGATGCCCTAACCTGGAATATCGGACCTCAGGACTGAAAAGAAATAAGCAACTGGAGGGAATCCAGAGGAGATCGTCTACAATGAGGGTTTAAAGCAAAATGTGAAATTTATAGTGTAGCCAAACCACAAAGTCAGACCCAAGGAGCATGATAAAATCTACAAATAGCTCAAGGATCTAAACACCAAGGGGAAAGAGGAATTTTGGCTGGAGATAAGAAAAACTTCAAGGGGTAACGTTAAGAAAAGGGAAATTTAGGTTTAACAGAATATATTCTTTAGTAGTAAGATGTATGTGTTTGTAGAACAGTGTTTCAAGGGAATGGAAAGAAAACTGATGAGTTTTCTAGGATCCTTGATAAGAGGATACCTTGATGTCAGACAAAGGACTCTAGAGCTTTCATTAGAATATTCTCGTGCCATGACCAAATGGAATAGATATATTTTTTATCCTAAATTTCTATGATAATTATAATGGGGAATGGAATAGTGAACAGACTGTGCTGTCCTTTATTAAAATGTATCCTAAGGCTTTGATTCACTTTGGCTCTGAGGGGAAAAAAAAAAACAAATATGAACACTACTTTTCAATAGCAATTGCCCAAATAAAGGAGCAAAGTCTTAGAGACTTGCTTTTTAAAGTATATATATTCAAAACCATTTATTTCTAGACTACCATTTATATTGCTTCTGAAGCAGGCTGATGAATTGTGAGAAAGATTCTGGGGACCAATGTAACAAAACCAGCCGTTTTTGAAATTGGTAAATGAAACCCAGATCTTCCTTCATCAAGTTTGGCATAAAATGGCAGTCAATCAGAAAGGCCGGTGTGAGTTGGGTCTATATAAGCAAAGGGATTATATAACAAACAGGAGTAAAATAGTAAAATAGGATGCCCTAACTAGGAATGAATGAATAAACCATAAGCCACCAATGACTGCAAAATAAACTTAATAGCAGTCAGGTCGGAAATCAAAAGGGTTTTAAAAATATCATTAAAAAATCCAAATAATTTTCTTATAAGTCTTTCATTCCAGACGAGCCATTGCATTTTTTCCCCTGTGTTTTAAAAGAATACCTACTTACACAGGGTTTTAAAAAAGGAGCCTGTGCTTAATTTTTGAATATTTAAAACAATTTATTCATTGTTCCCAAAAGTGAGGCAAGCTCCAGGCTAATGGAGGGTCAGGACCCAATGGAAAACAAGATGATGAATTAACTGAATGTGTCTGCTCCAAGCCCCAAGTGCCAATAGAAGAGTCCCTCTGCTCATTGGCTTTCCAGCATCCATGACCAAGAACGTATGACTTCGTGCCTGGAGGGCATTCTTATTAGCACTACATAATCGTGACAGGGTTGCATTTTCAACCCCATGGTCATCATATAGGCTTAGAGAAATAAAACGGATATGAATCATGAATTACATTTGCTGGGCCACCTTGAGTTATAAGTGTTCCTGTGAAGTGTGACTTTGTTAACCATCTACTCCAAATGCCAAAATCCAGTGAAGCATAACCAATTCCATGCAATGGTATCCAAATGGTAGGCATTAAGTGTTTTCATTGCTAGTGACAAGTTACAAGGTATTGTTAACTAAGGAAAGGGCAGGCAAGACCCGCCCTCTTTTACTTCTAATGTGACTTGTTTGAGGAGGGAAGAAAGGAAATGCCAACAGTCCCCCAAATGTAATTTGGCATGTGTAGTGAAGCAGGGAAGAAAGTGATTTTAAACGCTGTGCCTCTCCACGGCACACCTAATGGCCAGCCACTGAAACTTAAGTTTCAGGGTGAGAAGAGAATGACAGCGGTGAGGGTGATGGGAAATTTGTATCTCATTCTGTTTTCAGGCAGCAGATAGGTCATCAAGTTACCCGAAGGAACTCCCTGGGTGCAGTCTGCCCCACTGCATTTACAAAAACGTGTACATCATAGATCCTGGGGTCTGAATGAAGCCCTTTGTAGAGGCATCGAATTTTTCTGTTGTTTAGAATTCATGACGTGCCTCCACCTAGATAGTCGAATATCTAGGAACACAGAGCACACTTTTTAAAAAGACAAAAAAATTAATTTTCTCCTGAAAATTTTATAGAGAATAAAAGAAGTCTTCCAAAATCAAAGTTGGACAATTCTGATATATACACAAGGTGAATGTTTGTGTCAAACACTTGATTTTATAAGTTCATTGTAAGTTTTTTTCTTTAATAAAAGAAACGGTAAAGGGGAGTCACTTTTACATTCATATAAAATTCTCTTCACCGTGAAGTGGTAAAAGAGGACACACGAACACAGTTCAAGTACGCAGGCATTTCCAACATTCTCTTTGCTCCCCTGCTGAGACGGTTGTAAGATGCGTTGCAAAACTTAAATGTTACGTCAAAAAGCACTCCGCGCCGGCGAGGCTTTGAGCTTTATGGATTCCAGGGGTAGGACAGTAGCCGGAGAAGCTGCTCCCAGACTCGCTTCCAAGCAGGGAACATTGACATCGCCAGTGTTTTCCAGCTTCCCAAAAATGTGGCCGCGGCGCGCTGCGCCCAGAGGCGTCCCAGAGCCGAACCCGGAGACCGATCGCTTTGTGAGCGCCAATCTTCGCAGCCTCTGGGCTGACGCTGCGCCCGGCGCCTGCCCCCTGCCTGGCCTCACTCACCCCTCCTCCTCGAGTACATTTACACACGACCCTTACACGGCGAGGACCCCTCCCCCCTACTTTTCTTAGTAGGTCCCGAGATCTCCAGCCCATTCATCGGCAGCCACTGTATTTGAACTGGATCTCTATCCTTCCTTTTTTAAAACAAAAACAGCGGGAGGTGGTGGTGGGGGGGAGGCAGGAGATTTAACTCCAACTTCAGAGCAACCGTCCCGGGCTGCCCATCTGACACCAGTGGGTGGGGTGCAATCTGACACTTCCTTTCCTTTCCAGAAACGTGAGTGGAGCTGGCGCCCCCCTTGATCTGGGGGAGGAGAGACGGGGGAGAAGGTCCGCACTTCCGTCCTCACGGCTTTCTCCCCAGGAGACCCGGTATCAGTGGCGAGCAGCGCTCTCTCTGCTCCGCTCCCAGGTTTGGAGCCTGGAAAACTCCACGTTCTGCTTTCTCCTGCTCCTGGCTCCGCCCCACCTCTAGACCTGGCTTCCCTCCCGCCCTACCCGTCCCGGCCGCCCCCTTCCCGCTGCCTCTAGCGAGAGCGTGCGGGGACATCTCCGCGCCTGCCCTGGGCCCAAGGCAGGGCTGCTAATATCAAGAGCCCCTCTCCGGCGGGGCATGGGCATCCGCCCCTGGGCTCTCTCCTTAGGTCCCTGAGCGTAGCCAGGAATTCTCTCCCACCGTAGCCACTCAGCCCTTGGAAGGCCCTGGGTGCAGCGCTCTCCGTGTCCCTACTTTGTAGCAAGACTGGCACCGCACGGGAACCTGGAGCTTGGAGACACCCTTGCGCCTAGCCAGTCGGAGGAGTGGGCGCAGCAGCCAAGTGGAGGCCAGACACGCAGCTTCAAGGGCCCGGATACGGCGACGGTGCAGCCGGGGCGCAGCTCGGGCGCCCAGCTCCAGCGCCGGAGGAAGTCCCTCTCGCGGCGCGGGGAGCGCGACGGACGCGCCCTGGGCGCACGCCCAGGAGGCCTCCTCCCCAGCCCTCGGGACCGTCCTCAGGGCGCGAGGAGGAGCTTGCTGGAGACTTCGAGGCTGTCCAGAGCCAGCGAGCGGGAGCGCGGCATCTCCTGCCTCGGCTGGGAAGGGGGAGTGGCGCTGGCGGGTTAGAGCTGGGAACTGAGCGAACGCCTGACCTTCCTTCTCTTCCTTACCCCCTTCGCGACTTGGGCTCCGAGGGAAGGTTCTAGCGGCCACAGTAGGCCCCCGATCCCTTTTCCTAGAAGGCTGGTGATGGATCTCCTGCTTCTGCCCCCGCGAGGGTACTTGGAGCGCGCTGGTGGCGCGTGAGCCGGGCACTGCCCTCCACCGCCCTCGGCGAGCCTCGGGCTGGCCCCGCCTGGCAGCCTCGCCCGAGCCCCCTTTCTTTCCGGGCCCCAAGTCGCCAGCGTTCCGAGAGCGGGAGGAGGGTGGCCCTCGGGCACAGCCTCGACGAGATGTCCGCGCAGAGCCTGCTCCACAGTGTCTTCTCCTGCTCTTCACCGGCCTCGGGCGGCGCGGCCTCTGCCAAGGGCTTTTCCAAGAGGAAGCTGCGCCAGACCCGCAGCCTGGACCCAGCCCTGATCGGCGGCTGCGGGGGCGAGGCGGGCGCGGAGGGTGGCTCGCGGGGGGCCACTGGGGGCCGCGTCTGCTCCCCGCTGCCCCCCGCCGAGGGTCTCGGTCCCCGATCAGCGTCCTCTCCCCGGGGCCCACCCCCCCGGGCCAACCGACTCCCGCCCCCTAGACCCCTCTGCTCATCCTTCTCCACGCCCAGTACCCCGCAGGAAAAGTCGCCGTCTGGCAGCTTCCACTTTGACTATGAGGTCCCCCTGGGTCGCAGCGGCCTCAAGAAGAGCATGGCCTGGGACTTGCCTTCGGTCCTGTCTGGGCCGGGCGGTGGCCGCAGCGCCATCCTCTGCTACTCCGGGGGAGGCCCCAACGGCATCTTCGCTTCTCCCAGGAGGTGGCTCCAGCAGAGAAAGTTCCAGTCCCCACCCAACAGCCACGGCCACCCTTACGTCGTGTGGAAGTCCGAGGTAGGGTCTGATGCTGCGCGTCCTCATGGCCCAAGGCTGGACACCTGGGCAGTTCTTTAATTCCATCACATTTACAGAGCCAGGGACCCGTTGAGAGGTTTCCATGGTGTGGCTCTTCCTCTTTGGCTGGTTAAATGGTGCCTGGAAATGGGACGTCCCTAGTGGCCACCCGCGTGTGTCTTGTTAGCACTTCTTGGCTCCACTTTGGAGCAGTGGTGGGAGCTGGAGGAAGAGATGGTGTTCTGCTTTCCTGTTTGTGCTGCAGGCGATTTCAGAGGGTCATCTTATCCCTTCACCCAATGTTGATATTTTCCGGAACTCAAATGATCTATTTCTAAGCTGTTTGTAAGAATTGGATGAAATATATTTTCAAATATGTCTGCCACCTGGTTGTTCTACAGAGAATTCAGGAACATTATTCTGGAGGGTGTTGTTGATAGTGTGTGTAGGTCTGCATTTTTGGGTGGCTGGGGGGTGGGGGTGAGTAATTACTACAATTCTCTAGTTTTGATCTTTTCTTCTCTCAAAAGTTCTAATTTCAGAAATCTATGGGACTGAGTACTGGTTAAATCTAGGAGAAAATAATCTCTGCTTAAGGCTATGAAAGCTCATGGAAATATCCCACTAAGGACAACCAATAGTGAAATATACATGAACCGGGAATCATTAATAAATAGGGAACTCAGAGGGAGCTATTTGGTACCTTTAAAATATTTGCTCTCTGGTTAAGAAGAATGGAGCACAGAGCTATTCGGAAACTGTAGTTGATGGGTACTTGGAAAGCAGCATACTTTTAGAGAATAAATAGTAGTTGTTTTAAAAATGAACAACTTCTATCTCTTTCAGTCCACAAACTCTATAGATTGATTTGCCTTAGATCTGTTTCCATTACGGAAGGGAGATTCCATTAGTTGTAATTAAATATTTTAAAGTACAGTTAGAATTACAGAAATGAAATGAAATACCATGTAATTGCTGGAGATTTAGACTAAATAAAGGAAACACAACCAAGAAAAACAGTTTGAATATAGCATCCAGGATCATACCTCGCTCTGTAAACATGAGATAACTATGAGATTTCAACTTTTAATAGACCACCTTAGAATAATCAGCAGTATTTATCAGAAATATTAACATCACGTATTGATAAAATATTAGTTACTGTGTCAAAGTAATTGCTGCTGTTGGGTGGGGAGTATGGATTAGAAAAACTAACAAACATTGCTGACTGTTTTGCTCATTTTCTTGAGGAAGATAGGCAGTAGAAAGAAAAGTGAAGTCAGAGAGTAAGAGATTCTCTCCAAACTAGGGAACTCAGCATTAGAAAGAGGATCAAAAATCTAAACGTTGAATTTCTCTTGGTCTCTAGAAGGGGCTGGATTCCTGCTCTGTATCAGAAGCACACATTATCAGATTAATCTGTAGGAGCTGAGAATAAGAGAGAGAAATTCAAAAGCAAGCCAAGTTCTTGGACTAGAGAGCCACTGACATTCACATTTAAACCCTATTGCATCATTAAGAATGTCCCTGCTTTTCTTAGCAACTGCACATACTTGGAATATAGTATACAGATGCTATTCATTGCTGTAATTACCAAAAGGCATTCTACTGTAGATGATCATGACAGGTTAGAAATTATACTATAGATGATCACGACTGGTTAGAAATTATCTTCTTATCCATTAAAATCTCATAATCAGTAGACAAGTATCTGAACTGCGGTAATACTGGGTGTCTTCTAACTGTTCTATGGAGTATTTGGGCAGTATGCAAGCTCATCTACTGTGACTTTCACCTCTTTGCAATGGTTAAAACTAAGTACATAGCCATCTAGCAAAAGAACAACATTTTCTCATAAAATGTTCACGTGTGTGTGTGTGTGTGCATGTGTGTGTGTGTGTATGAGATCCCTCTATTCTTGAGGCAGACATGGAGTGATTGGATGGAATGCTGCCGTGAAGGTCCAGGGCTGGTTTTGTTTAGTAGAGGTCCAGATATCCTAACGCAACCCCTGGGTCTGGAATTTAATGACCTGGAGTATCTTTCAAAGTTTTAACACCCTGGAACCCTCTCAAAAACCAAGGCAATTCATCCATTGAGCACTGCTTGTCCTTCTCAATTGCAAGCAATCTGGGTCCTTTGTCCTAAAAGAGAATTTTTGCTAATGATGTCAAAAGTCCAGCAAACCTTGTAAGGTTACTTACGGTCCCTGGAAGGGAAATTTGGTTCATATAGATTTGGTTCCTGTGCTTTGCCTGGTTGCTCTGGCTCAGGGTTTCTCAGCCTCTGCACTATTGAGAGTTGTGGCTGAATGATTCTTTGTGGTGGGGGCTGTCCTGTTCATTGTAGGATGTTTAGCAGCATCCTGAGCCTCTACTAACTAGATGCCAATAGCATCCCTCCTCACCAGTGTGACAATGAAAAATGTCCACAGGCGCTGCCAAATGTCCTCTAGGGGTCAAAATTGCCCCAGTTGAGAACCACTGCACCGGTGAGTTGAATGTAGCACCGCATGCTGGCCATCTAGTGAGTGCCCACGGAAGTACTTTCAGCTGGCATAAAGTTTCCCTGGGGCCTTCATCCAATTCCAAAACCATGCAGAGCCCTCTTGAGTCATGCCTGCAGACTCCATGAACCTCTTATGGTTTGTTCAACTTTTCTGTTTCTCTTCCATTGAATCCGTAGGCAAAGCTGAGAATTCACTCTCATTCAGGTTTAAACAGTGATGGATCACATCCATTTCTGCTTAGTTCTTTCAGCAGATTCTCTGGTTTTAAACTAAATTGTTTGTACAACAGCTCCTGCTCCCAGGACTCTCATAAATGCCTGTAGCTCTATGCCTTGTGCTCACTCAAAGCTCACAAATGGCCATTTTATAGCCTAAAACCAGGAGTGTTAGACAATGTCAACTATGACTCTATTAATGTTTCCTTACTCCGTGTCTCAGGATTACTTTAGCAAAATCCGATTCATGGATATGCTGGGTAGAATATCTATTGAGCAGAAAAAGGGAGAAGACAAAGGGATAAATGGTGCATGGTGACACAACTGATACATGCTTCTCAACTTTGTTCTTAGCAGCCAAGGGGGTAAGGTCTCACTCCAACCCTGGGTTTCTCCTAATTTTCATGGATCAGAGCTAGGATTATGCTCACAGCTGGCCTGGAGTTTTACAGCCTCCGGCACCCATAATTAAAAGGATTTCTCTCTATCCATGACTTCTATTCTTTTCTTCGTTCATTTCACAAGCACTTCTTGAGTACAAGCATTTCTCTAGGTACCAGCAATGCAGAGAGGCTAAAATATGGTGTCAGCCCTTAAAGAGCCAACAGTCTGATAAGGAGGATGGATGAGTCAACCAATAGGCACAGTGCAGAAGGATCAGCACAATAAGGGACCAGGGTGGAGGTGATGATCCACTATGCTTTGGGGAGCCTTGGAAGGCTTCACTGTGCAGAGAACACTTGAACTTGATCTTCAAGGATGACTGCCATTTATAAGAAGAAGAAGGGTAGTGATTCCTTGACGAAAGAGAAAGGAGTGGACATGCGAAGGCACGGAGGTATTGGTGACACTAGAGTTGCCAATGAAGAGGACTTAGAAGGGCTTAAGTGGAGAAGCTTGTTTGGAGAAGAAGGTTAGAATATCTGTGGTTTAATATATGTCACAACCACATGGTTTTTTATGTAATGACCTAATGGAACCAGAAATTAGGTACATATTTGGGGGATAGTAACTAACTATGGGCATGGATAAAAATGGCAGGAGGGCCAAAGAACACTGCCCACCCTCCAAGGCACCTCTTGGCATCGAATATTCAGAGAGGTGAAAGGATATAGAGTGTTTTTGAAGTTAGAAGTTCAGTGTGTCTGGAGCATGGGCTGTATCTCACTGTGTGTTGGATAGTAATATTCAACAGGCTGGGTACCATTAATTACGAAGAGCCCCACTGTGCACGTCTCAGGAGTTTGGACTCTACATTTTGTAGAGCAGTGGTTCTCAACCTGGAGGCAGCTTTGCCCCAGGGGACATTTAGCAATGTCTAAAGACAGTTTCGGTTGTCACAACTGGGGGTGCTGATGTATTAGTTTCCTATTTCTGCCATAACAAATTACCCCAAACTTAGTGGCTTAGAGCAACACAAATTTATTATCTTACAGTTATGGAGGTCAGAAGTCTGAAATAGGTCTCACTGGGCTAAAGTCAGAGTGTTGGCAGGGCTACGTTCCTTCTGAAGGCTCTGGGATCTGTTTCCTTTACTTTTGTAGTGGCTCTCTTCTTCCATCTGCAAAGCCAGCCATGTTGCATCTCTCTGACCTTCTTCCATAGTCATTTCTCCCTCAGACTCACTTGAAGACCCTTGTGATTACACTGGGATCATCTGGATAATCCAAGATAATCTCATTATTTTAGGGTCAATTGATTAGCAACCTTTAATTCCATCTGCAACTTTAATTCCCCTTTGCCATGTAACTGAACACATTCACAGGTTCCAGAAATTAGGATGTGGATATCTGTGGTGGAACATTATTCTGCCTACTACAGGGGAGGTGCTACTGGCATTTAGTGGGGGAGAAGCCAGGGATACTGCTAAATACTCTACAATGTACAGGACAGCTCCTCCAACAAAAAATTATCTGGCTCTTAAAGTTAAGAGTACCCAGGTTGAGAAACCCTGTGGTAGAAAATGGGGGAAATTGGTGATTTTTAAACATGAGGAGGTAACATGATCAAATACGTGTTTTAGAGAGATCACTCTGTTGTCTGGGGGTGGGGCGTGCATTAATAGAGTGAAGCAAGCAGGAGGACAGATACTCAGGGGAGGTGGGCATGGGGAAACCATGCCAAGCATCCAACAAACAACTGGGAGTTGGCATATAAGCATAATACTTCTGTATTTCTTACTTTTCCATTTTAGCAAACTGTTTTCTTGCACTATTGAACTACTACTAATAAGTTGGTCTCTGTAAGCCAGTGGTTCTCAACCAGAGGTGAGTTTC